GGTGTGGGAGATTTGAATAGGGGACACGCAAATAGTGTTGGGTTCAAAGTTCAAAGGGGATATCAGGCTTTATGTGTTGCCCTTAATTAGCACCTTCCTATTCAATATTGCCAATAAAGATAGGGCCTGGTGAATTTTATTAGTATACTTTGATCGTATTAACATTTACAACAATGTAATTATAAAAACTGTTTCATATAACTAAATTTTTTCTGTCTGCTTTTTTCAAATCAATTATTTTAAAAATAAATTGCCGTTTAGTTCCACTGACTTAAGGTTTGTATTAAAAATACATCTCTATTTATTCAGAATGATGGAATTTTTTCCTATATGACGGTGTAAACCCACGCTTATATCGTAATCGTTATACGTGAATCATACAAAGGCTTTAATTCAACAATTTCGTCACCGCGACTAGAGTTGCGTGTAATTTACATTTTCATGAAACCGTTATCGGAATTCTGTTACAGTGCAATTTAATTTCTGTATCTGATAGACATTCGACAATTGTAGAATGGAACAATCAACTGTACTTTGACGAAATGACACGAACGTATCCGTTAACAGACGTATTAAATATATCACGGACACGTAATAATTTACATAATTTAAAAGAGATACTATGAATGCAAATTAGTATAAATTTCGTAAACAACTCGATATCTCGTGTTTATTATTCTCTTAAATGTAATGCTGGTAAATTCTGGAGATGAAATATTAAGAATGATACACTGCTTCTGAGGGAATCAGGGTTATATGGACATTACCTATCGGTCGTCATCTTCAAGTGCGACGGACGGGACTCCAAGATCTCTGGTGGAAAAGAGCGGTGCCTAAATGTACTCAGCTTGCGCGTCCCACTATCGGTAACGTTCTCTTTCCGTTATGGCAACACGGAACTACACCATGCCACCACCATTGAATCTTTGGCTGGCCTTGTCACCCTAGCGTAGGATAGGCTCCGAGCCTCATCTACAAGTTATTAGTGAGTTGGTGGTACCGAAAGTTATTTGTGCAGTTACATTATAAAATTGTGTAAGGTAATAGCTACATTAATTCACAGTTCAGTATTTTAATCTCTATAATTCAAATGTTAGAAACGTGACTCTAAGCTATTTTCTTGGAGAGTTTGAATTTCACACAACACAGCAATTGTTTGTTACAAATCGACATCAATTTATCGGGCAAGTGAAGCCATATTGCTTAAAGTGGTGAATTACCTTAACGTACAGTCCATGAACAAACAGACAGCACAAATAGACATTACAAGTATTGATTTAAACCAAACAACGGCATAGTTACAATAACATTATGTTCCTATTTGCAATGTGTAAATTGATTCAAAAATCATTAATCGAGAAAAAGAAAAAAAAAACTATATTTAGTTACAGTTTTCATTCACGACGCATAAAACTTCTAAATGAGAATGTTGACATTCTCAGTACGTGTTATAAAGAATTTTTTTGTCAGTACAAATGAAGACTACACAGGTTAATGAATGCTCTCTTGTATATTTTTTAAACTTCAAGTTTTCAAGACTTAGTGTTTACTCTGCCGTTGCATTGATCTGTGGTCCGGATATTCTAAGTATTCCTCACTGGAATGGTTGGGACGGGCTCGGCTATCTGAGGACGCGACACAAATTCTCCTCCCTATTTGTATCTCCTTTTGCTGTTTCTTAGAAAATTGATAAAATTTCCAATAAATATCAGAAACATGTACATCAGTATTTTTTGACCCGTAAGAAATTGGTCGCCTTATATTAAAAATGCGATGACATAATAAATTATTTGAATTTTTTCTTCATATCTTATAGGCTGTATGTTTTTTTTTTTCTCTTGGAAGGTAAAGTTATACTATCACAGACTATTCTTGGCTTAATAAGTACGCATACAAAGTGAAATAGATTTATCTTAACAACTCGTAACTACGTCATGAAGAGATTAAATCTTACAGGAAACTCTCTGGAAACTAATTATTAATGTTGGTACACGAGATTTTAATATCAATGTGAGAAGTTGGCAACACTTAATGAGCGAAGTTCCCGCTCGCTGGATTATTGAGTACTGTAAGAATTAATTACCTGTAGAAGAGATAGGAGATAGTTATTTATAATGTTTCCTAATAGTTTCTGAAGCTTCACTTTAGGATACGTCTATAATTCCATAGTTCTAATTTTAAATCTATACAATTAATGTAAAGATATTCAATACTTGTATAGACGGGACAACACGAACCAAAATTCCCCTCCACGATTGATTACCAATAGATAGATGAAATTATTTGTAGTGGTAATGATCTAATGTCCGGACTATTATTATTTTATTTGAAACTCTTTAGACAACATTCTTATTTTTAGGCGAAACTTAATCAAAGTCATCTGCTTGTATTCATTTCTTTTTGTTCTAATGAGTAGACAATTAATTGTAAGGCTTCCCACACGCTTTGCAATATAAAGCGTTGATTGATTGAAGCAAACAGGCAATGTAGCGTCGCAATCAGACTGCGGTTACGTGGTCAGTTCTCATACGTAAAATAGATCATTCTCATATTGAAAAGGAAAACAACATAGTTTATGGAAGCCTATTTTCTTTTGATGTTGAATGCCGCTTTACAGATAATATTGGAAGTGTGGTATTTCTTCTAATGCGATCATAGATATTAATTGCTAACACTAATGTAAATAATTTTACTCTCTCTAATATTATATTATATTAATATAATATTATCTCTAATACAATATATATAAATAAATGCGAATTGTGTGAATGAATGGATGTTTTTAGCTTTAGAACTGCATTACAAAGAACGCGGAGGAAGTCGCGGGCAAAAACTAGCGATTATAGTCTTCTAATATAACAGAAAGATGTTAATCGTAATAATGCACTCCTTTCAGAACTTCTTATAAAATTTTAATTATCCATCATCATCATCATCATCATCATCATCATCATCATCATCATCATCATCATCACCACCACCACCATCATCATCATCATTATCATCATCACCACCACCACCATCATCATCATCATCGTCATCGTTATCTCCCCTGCCTTATCCTACTCCCGTAGGGTCGACAGCGTTGTTATCCATTGAAAGTTTTTCCCCCCTAAATTCTACGAAACAATTTTTTTTTTAATATGCAAAGTAATAGAGATTAATTACTAAAAGGAAAATAAATTTGTGTGTACCTGAAGCTTAAAACGAAATTCATAAAGAAGTAAATAAAGTTAATAAAAGTCTTTTATCACACTGAGTTCTTGCATTAAAGCTGGGATTTACCCTTCTTTGTAAAAGTACCTTTAATATCTTTGTCCCTTATTGTTAAATTAAAAAACATTTTAAGCTTTTTCTGTAGGTAATATGTTTGTTTAATTATGTCCTATCTAGATTCTGTTGTATTTACTACTAGCTGTACCCGTGCGGCTTCATCCGCATGGAATTATGATTTTTTTTATTGTTTGCATTGGTCAAATTATCAATAGCAAATGTCAAAATGACATGACATGACAAAACCTCGGCAACTCTTGTTGGCAGCAACTTATGGTGTCTTTCCCACATTAGGGTTTTTATCCAAAGTTTAATGGCGTGAAATATAGCCTAAAGCGTGTCGTAAGTGTAGGGCTTTTTATTAAAAAAAAGTATTATTCAAATATATGCTGTAATTGCTGACATCTTAGGCAACAAAGAAGCGTGTGTTTACGCTTTATTATAATAGTATAGAAGTATAGATGAAAATTTTCGTTTTATGAAACAACAGTCGTTTAGAATGCCTATTGTGAAGGTTTAAGTCCTGTCTCACAATATTCGCGTGTCCATTGTGCTAGGACAATGCAAGCAAATCAAATTTAGCTTATCTTTGCATACAGACGACTCTGTTCAGTGTGCAAGGGATATATATTTCCGTTTGATATTCTTTGTTAATATTTGGTTGTTTTTTTATATTCTAAACAAACAAAGGGGGAAAAAATAAAAAGGTTAACATATCTTACTCGTTATTAATATTATAAATGCATAAGTTGATAGATGTTTGCTAGAGTTTGTGGCCTAAATTGCTAAACGGATCTCGATGTTTGGTATAGATGCAGATTAGAAATTAACAACGTAGGAAAGGCGTCATTTTTTCTTGACAATTTTAAATAGAAGATAGTTTAAAAACCCACGGCAAGTATAATTTGCATCATACTTCATACTTCTGTTGGATGTTTGTTTGTGTTTGTAGCCTAAACGGGTGAACGGATTTCAATAAAATTTGGTATAGATGTAGAGGATAGTCTGTAAGAATACATAGGAAAGCCACTTTTTTTTAATTTCACGCGGACGGAGTCGCAGGCGAAAACTAGTTATATCATATTCGGAATATAATTTGATTATGTCAGACCTGTAATAGAAACGGTCACGCGAGGAGTGACTTACCCTGCATCTACCGTCGTCAAATCAACGCGAATGTAACACAAATAAGTCATTGACCGCTAGTGACGTGCAACAGTTTTAAATAACATCGATAAATGACTAAATGTTAAACGCAACACTAATTGGAAATAAGATAAAATTCACTATCTTTAATTAGAAGTAAACAGTGAACAATATTTTATAATTATAACGACCAAAAGAATTTTTTAATGGCATCTTGATTTAGAAGACTTTTCGCTTTTCTTTTAAAATACACTATCTCTAAAACTTTAAATGTATTAAAAAAATAATTGTACACATCACTACTAACAGTGTTGCAATAATCTGCGATAATTTAAACTCGATATAGTCACGACCGTTTATACCTCATGTGGCACGGCCCTTATTTTACCGTCGGTGTCGTATTGAAAAGCTCCCGTGTTGTGTACATTTAATAATGGTCCCCTGATTACAGTCGCTACACCGCTCGGTGTGTTTAATTACTTTGCACCTGATATTGTATTTTATAGCAAGTAATGTTTAAATAATTGAAAACTCTTTTTAATTCTGCTAACCGTATTTTCTTCTTTATTATCTATCTTGACATTTATGACAAATGACAGAGACAATATAAATTGGTCTGCAAAACCCGAATAAGAATTAAATAAGAATCAATTTACTATTATTGAATTGACAAAAATATTGTTAATACTATAGTTAATTTGAATTTAAGAGTTACTATTCAGTTGCCGATATATGTACAGTACAAAATGGGAGTGTTTGTAGGTTAGTTGTTCCATTTATCTATTTCGTAAAAACGTAATGTACAGTCAGTTGCATAAATATGTACTAAGACAACTTTAAAAACTTGTATAGGCCTACTGTTTAAAAATACGTATGCACGTGTTCGTCTGCGCACATAATTCGGAAAGATATGAACGGGTATGTGCGTGTTTTTAAAACTATCGTCTTTGACTAGTTTATCAAGCTTTTATTGCTGACTGTAGTGTTAGTTAGTTTTTTAAATCGATTTTTTTTTCTTTTTTTTTTTTATAACATAAGGTGGCAAACGAGCAAGCGGCCACCTGAAATCGCCAAAATGGCGAAGCGACCGCTGCCCATAGACATCCGCAATTGCAGATGCGTTGCCTACCCTTATCCGACGGAGGAGGAGACGCACATAAAGAGGGTATTTCCCCTTCCTATGCATCTCCTCCACCGTCAAATCCACTTCCTCTTCCCAACCTCTCTTTATAAGAAATGGGTGGTAAAGGGAAAGGGACTTAAATTAGGCCTCCGGCACCACACTCACATCAGACGAAACGCGGAATTGCTTCCATTTCACGCCTGTCTTCTGTGTGGTCGTGGTATTACACCGGGCGTGCCGGCCCATTCGTGCTAAGATGTTAAAGCGGGCCACTGTTGAAATACTCTTTACAGATGTTATCTTTCCATTACTTTTGATGATGATGCTTATATTTGGTAACCTGATCGTTGTGTACTTGATCTACAAATTAAGAAAACGGTAAGATGTTCTTTATTGATTTATTAAATAGCTTTCGCCCGCAACTCCGTCCGCGTGGAATTAAATAAAAACAAAAATACACTAAAAACAAAACAAAATGCACTAAAAACAAAACAAAATATTCTCAAAAAAACAGTACACTAAAAAGTAACGAA